ATAAAGTTTTTAATGCCTGGATCTGTCATTTAAAAATTTAAACCACTTCAAAAATACGTCACGACAATCGTGTGAGTGTTATTGTTTGGGCAGGTGATTTCGGTGTTTATTTATTGAAAACATACCGTAAGTAACGTTTTTTAAGTTTACTCTGAATATAAATGTTTATAAACTATACTTTAAGGAGTTCATGGTAAACGTTAGAATCACTGAAACGGAATATTATCATATTTATCCAAGTACACCAAAAATTTCATTAGTGCTTTTTAAGTGCAGGATTTGCAGTGTATTATTGTATTTTATTTGAGATGTTTTTGTTGGTAGTACGGAGGGTATTTATTTAGCAATGCAGAATAATAATTTTTATTTATAAAAACTTGTATTTAAACTGAATGCTTTTCTAATTTGCGAAACCAGATAGCCGCCATTTTGCGGTAGGTTTATCCTATCCTTTAAGGGCCGCGTAGGTGGGGGTAGCGCATCGCGTGAGCGGTTATGAGAAATAAATATTTTTTAAACCTTAAATTTACGCATACTGTAACGTGTAAAGTAAATACACTTATCTCACTTCTTTGTCTCTCCTAACAATATTTGATTTTATGTAACAATAAACTTTCTTACGTAAGTACCAGAGCAACGAAGTTCATTCCGAGGCACACATCCACACCATAACCAAATTTTGAATACCCAGACCTCACCGGGAACCGAATTCATCACTATGTCATCTATTTAAGCTGCTTAACGGCTCTAAATTTGGCTGACAATATTTTTTCATGTATAATAAACGTTACCACAATGAGAAATTGTTTTAGCGAAGGCCTATTCCCATAAATCTGCAGCTTACGTTATCGAATTCATTTTCGTAAAGGCGTTGCATGTAGGGAAACCAATATTTGCAATTTAAAAAGGATATCTAGTATTTTGGATTTCGACTATTAAAAATATGGCTTTAATAACGGTACGCGTACATTGAGCATAATGCAGACTATCAGCGTAAGCACAAAACTGGAAACAAACACCAATCTTAACGTTTCCTTTGTTTTCGCCGCAAAGAATCTATGCTTGACTATCTGTACCAAAACAATCATTAATTATTGTAAATGTCTCAGGTCCAACGAGGACGATTTATTAGAACACTTCTAGCATTATTTGCAGACGAAGGATTATTTTTTATCTTAAAAGGACGACAGATTTTTTGTTTATTTATAATGTAACATATTGATACTTCAGATTTCAATTCAATTGTATCCCGTTTGCGATATGAAAGATCCAAAGTTCAAAGTGAGCTTGACGTGCTCTTGACTATACTATTGTGCATTAGTGTAAAGGACAATGGCAAACTGCCATATAAATTTGTGTTGACATATTTTGTATGCGTCTGTTTAATAAAAATACATAAACAAATTTTGTTTTGGGTTTACTATTCTGAGATGTCTGGAATTAATGATAATTCAGTTTGAAGTTTTGGAGGTTATGTGTTACTTAATTGAATAAAATATATTCGGTGTATTAATTATATCAAAATAAACTACAGCAACCTTAAACAGCGTTGATAGAAGTTGAATGGTGCCGTGGGTTTGTGACGTGACGAAATTTCAGAGGAAATTATTTTTTACACTAATGTAACCAAATAGTGCAGTCAAGAGCACGCCAAGCTCACTTTGGACTTTGGATCTTTCATATCGCAAACGGCATACAATTGAATTTAAATCTGAAGTATCAAGTATGAAATGCTCTTGAGCTTACATGAACCTTTCTTTGTCTGTCGAAAATGTGCGGTTTAAAGGCGTATGAGGCTGTCTCACTAAAACTAAGGTTTGTGGTCACACAACTTGTAGGTCAAGTGTTGGGTAGATACTTGTACAGTGTGCAGTGATGGAGATAACGTTATTAGGGGATTTGTGTCGCTGAGAATTAGTGCAATTTCAAGTATTTTATAAGTTCATGCTCGCTATCCGTGTAATTATCGTTTACACTTATCGTTAATTTATTTTATATGTATCTAACAGTATGTAGTACAAAGATATATATGAGCTTGCTATAAATTATAATGATGGCAAATTTTGTAGGACTTACTATAGATACTTCAGTGTTTACAACATTTGAAATGGACACTAAAAACTAAAGCATGTAACATAACAAGACTGCACTTAAATTCGAAATGCCAAGTGCTTTTCTACGAAATAACTACTGACGTCGATATCAAATGAAAATGCTTTTTCATTTGATCTTTAAAGTCCCTATAAATATTTATCACTCCATAAGTTGAACGTGCCAATAAGGGAAATAGAAAACTAAGTAATAGCCTCACTCCACCGTAAGAATACAACGGTTATAAATCGTGAAACGACTGTTTTATTGGCACCCCCATAAATTACATTAGCAAATTCACGTCAGACGTGAGAGCCGGTCAGCAATTCGTTCGAGAGAATGACTGCCCTCTTGATAAGCTCCTTCTTCGTCACCTGCGTCCCAAAAACTGCGAACCTTTTGTTAAGAATTTGCTTTTAAATTCTGTACGGACAGTGTGATCAAAGTAAGAACATTTTTTATGTATTTGACGTCATTTTGATTATTTATATATTATATTATCCTATTGAATTTAACGAAATTCTGATGTGATACAGAAATGCTCTCGAACCCTTTTTTGAAATTCCAAATAATTAAAATAAATAAATAAACAATTTTTTAAGCGATACGCTTGTCCGTAGCAATTGCAATCCCACTTTAAGAGCTTTAAATCGCAAAGATCTGAGAGACACTGTCACTGCACCTGTCATCCTGAGACATAAGTTCACAAGTCCCACGTGCCTGTAATTTCACTCCCACCTTAGCCTTCAAAGCCGAAACACAGTAATGCACACATTACTGCTTGGCGGCAGAAATATGTCAGGTGGCAGTCCTTCTCTGGACGAACTCTTTCACAAGGAACTCTATTGCTACTACATGATAATAGGTGATAATTGGTAGTTGTGTAAATACACACCTTAACATGTGTAATCGCCCTTATTCACATTTTGAAATGTTAGTATAATACAACGTGAACATTCAAAAGTTAATCATTCATAATAAGCGAAAACTCGGTAAAAGTAATTTTTTTTAATAAGTAAACAAAATACACCAAGAGCGTGTTGGACATGCCATTGATGAGATCCGTTTAGAAACAAAACAAAATGCAATACAATTCGATTACCCTAACCCTAACCTAGGCTACAGGGAGTTTTATTGAATCACTATGCGATGTTGGCAGGTTCAATTTATTAACCTTTGTTTAGGAGACCTTAAGGAAATAAACCCAGGTCACTAAAGCCCGTATAAATAAAACCCAACTTAAGTGTAGAGTCGATATTAAGGTCTCACTTAAGTCAAATGTCTTTATTAATCAATACCACTTGTCAATAATGATACTTTGATTACGTATAATTGGAAACTTATAAAAAATTCAACTTCCTAATAAACGTTACTGAGCACTTGAGCTGATTGTCACGATGTTAGTATGTATCAATAAATTTAGTTTTTGTTTATGATACCAAATGGCGGGACGAACAAGTTGTGGGTCTGGTGGTAAGCGACACGCCTGTCCATAAAAGTTGCGCACTTCAACTCAGAGCTTTAAAATGCAAAGATCTGAGGGGCACAGCCACTACGCCCGTCACCCTGAGACATAAGTTGACAGGTTCCATGTGCCTGTAATTTCACCACCCTTACCCTTCGAAACAGGTACGTAGTAATGCTTACATTGCTGCTTAGCAGTAGAAATAGGTAAGGTGGTAGTACTTTCCTGGACGAACTCTGTCATAACCGCTCACGCGATGCGCTCCTCCTACCGCGAAATGGCGGATATGTGGTTTCACAAATTAGAAAAGCGTTCAGTTTAAATACAAGTTTTTATAAATAAAAATTATTATTCCGCATTGCTAAATAAATACCCTCCGTACTACTAATAAAAACATCTCAAATAAAATGCAGTAATACACCGCAAATCCTGCACTTAAAAGCACTAATTAAATTTTTGGTGTACTTGGATAAATATGATAATATTCCGTTTGAATGGTTCTAACGTTTACCATGAAATTACTCCTTAAAGTATAGTTTATAAACATTTTGTACTCAGGGTAAACTTAAAAAACGCTACTTACGGTATGTTTTCAATAAATAAACACCGAAATCACCAGCCCAAACAATAACACACACGATTGTCGTGACGTATTTTTGAAGTTGTTTATTTTTTTAAATGACAGACCCAGGCATTAAAAACTTTATGGTTTGCTAGAGTAGTTACCGAAATAGCAATTAATATTAGTTCTTTTACCTGTTATAACTTCGATATCCGATAAATCGGTAAAAATCATCACCGGCACCCTTAGGTGTAGTATGCGTCTACGGCTGCATGTCTATGTGCAGGGTCTTGGTCACTTGAGATGGCATCATCTAAGATGTCTGCCGAGAGGTTAAGATATGTTGATTGCTTAGTAGTGAATATCTCAACCGATAGGCACGTAATTTTAATTTTATTTTTAATTTATCTTAAAGGTAATCAAAATACCAAACTTAAGAGTTAAAGAACTCTATTATGCTGCATTTTTAACTTCGCTTTTTAATAGAAATAAAGGAGGAGGTTCGACTGTATATTTTTAACATACACGTTACGCGATTACTCTGACATTCGTATTCGAACAGATTTCGATGATTTTTTTTGTTAGAAAAGGGGTAGCTTAGTAGGGCCCCTTTTAAATTTGAAAAAATATTTCACTTCTAAAGGTAGAAAATTAGGAAATGATTCAGTATATTCGATTTCACCCATTTCCCGTTAACCAATTTGAATAAAACTTGGCAAATAGATGATATTCCACAAAATTTAAGGTTGGTTTTTTTTGTAAAAAATATTAAAAAGATTACAAATATAGCAAGGTTACATTATTTTATTTCCACAGCGATGTATTAATGACTTTGTCAAATAAAATTTTTAGAATTCCTTAGAAAAGCTACTAAAAACTTACCAAAAATTTTGTCTACATATTGTTGCGTCACCCATCTGAAATAAAAAAAGAAGATTTAAATATAGGTGTACTTATATGAAGTTACCGAATTCAATACAACATACATGTTTGCGTTCTTATTATCGCTAAGCATTTAAAACCATGTATTCTATAATTGATATTTTTATATAACTTTATGGCATAAAATCGGTCAAATAATCTAACAACTAACAATTCAATTCTTAGACCGATTTTAGTGGTAGTGGTTGCTACCTTAAATACATTTGCAGTAGTAAGGAAGTATTCTAAATATCGCTTTACTGGATAAGGTTGGAAGTTAGTAGTATCTGTGATGGTACTGACACTTCGTACCTTTCGAAACACTACTGTGTTGCTTTGCGGTATAAATAGGTAAGGCGGGGATGCCTTTTCAAACGGGTTCTATAAAAAAAGCTGTACTGAAAATGAAATATGTTTAATGTTATAAAATACGATAATATAAATGTTTATCGCTCTCTTTCAGGTGTATCAATATTTTAACAAGAAACCAATCCACGTAGGAAACGTAAGTAGTTATGTGAGCGGAAATTTGATGCCTTTGACTGTGTATTTGTATGTACGTCTAAAGCATCGTAGCTCGAAAATGGATGAATTGATCAGCATTTTTTAAATTATTTTATTTGGTACAGGTTTTGAGCTGGATGATTCTTAGGCTGCATACAGATTTGCACGCGCGCTGCACGCACAACATGTGCAGCTCGCGAGCCTTTGGCAAACACGCGCTTTTGCGGTGCATTCGCTAGATCTGTACGCACCTTGAGCTATGTCATGGCTCCGTAACTCGCTCAAGGTTATGCGATAAGTGACTACCGCTGAATGCGCCGACGACGTTGGCGCAAGCGCTCATACAAGTCATTCATTTATGAGCATTCGGCTCCGCATGACTGCACATAGCGGGCAAAGTTATTTTCGCCTCTCTGAGCGCGTGCTTAGGTTCTCTTTCCTAGTAGTGAGCGCCTGTTGTCATTAGTCACATTTAGTATGCGATTATAGCGTAGGTATTTTCGATTTTATATGAGAGTGACGTATCTGTTTCGTAGTAACTATTAAGTAATCCGTGGCTATGTTCAATGAATATCTGTTCAGCTGTTTATAGATCATTAGTGTAGGGATCTTAGTCATAAAATGAATATTTATATAACTTCCACCTGTCTGATCGACATCAAATTTGTTATACTATGGAAATTTTATGACATTATACTGAAATGGTAATCTTGATCTGGGCTCATTAATGAATTGTTAGCTTACAGATAGTGAATTATCGCGTTCATAGGTTTTCGTGGTTGTTACTCATAAGGTCACTTTTGACTGTCAACCGTGACGATGGGACCTGTAAAGGGCTGTTAGTTTGGTAAAAAAAACAAATATACGCGATTTCAATCCGGAAAAATAGTTTCATTTCCTAGATGGTCAATTAATTGACTTTTTAGAGTACACTGTTTTGTATCGAGGATTTTTATCTTTAATTTAAGTGTCATACATTAGCACTGTTCCAACTTGCAAATTCTTTTAAAACGGGAGTAAAACTAGGGAGATACCATCCAAAAGTAGTTGAAATCGAAGCCCAAATGCCAGGGCGAGCAAATGATGAGTTACATCTGCGGACAAACACGTGTGAAACAGATCCAATGGCAAAGAGCCAAGCTGATCAGTTAGCCTATACGGAACTAAAATGTTCTATTATCGAGATAATTTCTTGGCATCGGTTGGGATATTGGTGTCGAAATTTGAAGAACGAGAAGGAAGTAATTGAAGAAATAATAATATATTGCTGATCTATTTATTTCAGAATATCATTTTAGGAATCACGTTGTACAGTGATATTGACTTTGTTGTAAATAACCCTCTCCCTTTGGTTTACTTGCGTAAGTGTAAAGTTTAATTACATTCCTTGGTGAGTTTTGTTTATGATAGCCAGTGATGGGACGAACTAGTCGTTCGCCTGGTGTTAAGCGACACGCATGTCTATAGTAGTTACAGTGCGTCTCAGGGTCGTATTCTAGAACTCTATTCAATGCTCAAGTCAGGATTGCGCTGGCAACACAAGCACTGGAAATACGACCCTAATGGCAGGGATTTGAGTATGATTTCGAGTGCTTTAAACCATACTCAAATCCTAACTTGAGCATTGAGTAAAGTTCTAGAATACGAACCTCAGAGCTTTAAATCGCAAAGACCTGAGTGACACTGCCACTGCGCCCATCACCCTGGGACATAATCGTATAGCTGTAATTTCACCAGCACCCTTATCTTCAAAACCGGAACGCAGTAGGTACTGCTTGGCGGCAGAAACAGTTAAAGTGGCAGTATTTCCCAGGACGAACTCTTTCACAAGGAACTTTACTACTGCTACTAAAAATTTTGCCAAGTTCTAAAGATGGTGCATGAATTAAAAAATATGTCAAGGATGTACTTCTACTTACCACTTTACTGTGTAAACTAGCTATCACGACTAGCGCAATTACAGTGCATAATGCAGACTACAAAACTCTTTTGAGCTCTTTGCAGTTTCGCAATAAAAAGAAGCAATTTGAAACCGGATGAGAAACAACTTATATTGTCGATGGATAACAATTAGTTCTTAATGTGAAAATTTTTGTATATACATTTCTTTACGTAATTAATTGATTCAGGTGTTACTTTGCGGAAGTCCATGTTAATGAAAATGCAAGTAAATTAATTTGCCACTCCAGGACCCCGTAGAGGTGTATTGCATTTTTTTTTCTAGAAGCCTATTCTTCGGCTGAGCGTCGAACTATCAAAAACCCCTAAGGACGCCTTGTAGAGAGGTGAAACACGTGTCGGGTACATTTTCGGTGGTGGTATTTTATAATTATTTAATATTTTATATTTATTTTGGTATCTGTACTTGTGCTTGTATTGTTGTGTGTTTAATTTAACGAAACAGATAACTGGGATTGAATCAATAAATTGAATACTTTAACACAATGTGCGGAATACATCACTCTGAAGGAAATTAATAGACACAGATTAACAGAGTAAAGAAGATCGGCGGAATAATTTATTGAAATTTCAGTCAATTGAACCCGCGTCTATCCAATTATGCCCATTCAGTTTGTTAAAGACAAACAAGCGGAAGTCGCGATTATCGGAAAAAATTAAAGCTTCAAAATATTCTACAGCGAACTCCCCTCGATGATACAGCGTTATTTCTTATTAATCCAACACTTCTTAATTTGCAATTTCTATTAATAAGAGAAATAATTTTTGCGCTACACTTTTCGGAAATTCACTTAAAATATTGGGTCCTTTCTAAATCTACGAACAGTTGAAGTGAAAATTCCGAAATGTGTCGTAACACAAATCAGTTTCAAGTAATTACATAAATTTCTTAAGTCGTCAAGCATCTTATAGGAATAACGTACGTGTTTGTAACGTGGCATATATATATATATGTGTGTATTTATATTTTAATAGGGAATGAAAACACATGTAAGAGATATCGTGAGGCTCTAGAATGCTACAGTACCAAAGTCGTTACGGACATCGACTTTCTTTTAAGCGCGTGTTGGGTTAAAACGTTCCTCCGAGTTTTATAATGCCTAAAATTAACCTTGTGTTGTAGTATAATGATAATCTTTTTAACATTGAATATATGTTATTTTTTATGTTTTTAAGTATCTTTTTGCTTTTGTCAATCTTTATTTTTGCGACTACTATTTTGTGAAATTCCATATATAAAAACAGAAGTAAATTGATTTGCTATTTCACGAACCCAATGGGTATGTTAGTGGTGGTATTTGTGACTGTATTTGCGCTTGTGTTACTTATAACATTTACTTTTATGTGGAGGGAGGGTGAAAAAATTAACACAAGCGTAGCTATTTAGCAAGATTTAATATTCACGGGGTCCTCGGAGTTGCAAATTAATTTATTTTCATTTTTATTAGTACGACTACCATTGGTAATATTCTTATATTACGTTGTTATCAAGCTATGAACACACGCCAGCACATCAAGCTACACATTGACCTCTTGTTCCGTTGCACTGGAGGCGATTTTCGAACAAAAATGTGAAGTCTGATGTGCCGTTGTCCGTACATTGGTGGCAAGTTGCGCTTCAATAATATAACTAACATCCACTTGTGAGTAATAATGAGCCAAGTTAACTGAGCCTTCCTGTTCCCATTAAGAGGTCAATAGTGCCTTGCTCTCTGAGAAATGGTCCCAATTACCTTCCTAAGTATCCTCGGAGGGCTAAAGTGTTTTGCCTCGATGATGTTGCGTTTGTAATTCTATATTATATACATCGTTATTACAGTATCGATATTTAGTTCGATTTATAGCAATTTAGAATAGACGTAAATATAGGACAAAGTTAAACGACGACTTTGGTGGTCCATCGGTTTTTCCCTGTAGGCGCTGGACCTGGGTTTTTTTTATAATAGCAAGCGACGGGACGAACAAGTCGCATGGTTGGTGGCAAGTGATACGCCGATCCACAAAGTGATGATGAAATCTATGATCATGAGCTTCGGTTTATTTTTTTATCACTTTATTTACGGACTTTTGATCCCAATCGCGGCGCAGATCCACATTTCGTATATACCAAAGAGCACCCACTAATTGCCCCAGTATTTTATTTTGGAGGCGTTGAATTGTCTGTACAAAAAAAAAATAATGTGTCACAAAATAATCCTCTGTACAGGATGTGTCGGTTTTACAACGAAATGTATACAAATTTTGATATCCTTAATTGCGATGTCACTGTTTTTAAGAGGTCACTTATTCTTATTTTTCTTTTCTATTTTGATAACTAATTTAGCGTCGGTTTATATATCCACGTTTTAACGAGCACAGTTATTATGATATGCCTACTGTACTTATTAATTTTTTAGTGTTTTTTTTCTTTGTGCCATATAAATGAAAATATTATAAAATATGTAATAGGGGGTAAGGAATTCATTGTAATATTATTGTAAATGTAACATATTAAATGCGGTCGGCCTAGTAATAACCTTTTTCTTTAGGAATA